TGAATTCTTAAGTTTTAACTTTATATTGTAGTTTATATCATAAAGTAAATTGTGTTATGAGCACTATGTACAGTGAGCACTTTGACAAGACAATGCCAGACTGTCAGGTTAGGGATGGAGCTAAATCATCGCTCTTTAATTTCACTAACATTACTTATTTACAAAGAGTAAGTTTATCATCACTTGATTATAAGGATTTCATAGCTTATCATAAATCTGTGGACGTATTATATATAGATATATTTTTCCTTTTTAGCCAATTGCATTCATGATTATTTATTTTACTTTATAATTTAATTTATTCTTCAGCATTGTCTATTCTGTATTATTCCACCCTTGATATTATATATTCTACTTGCTATTATTCATCTATTGCTATTCATTTATTTATTTTGGTATTATACATATAATTTATTCTATTATAAATCTATTATATACTGTTGTACTCGCTTTTTATATTATTCACTTTACTACATATACTTTTTAATATTACATATCACTTTTACTGTGCACTGTATCAGTGCATAATATTTTACCACTGTAACTGTAAGTTTTACTGGATCCATAAAAGATTATCAGTTGCATTTGTTATTGTTTGTTGTGGAGTTTATATCTGTATAGAGTGCTATCAAAATAAAAAGCAGACTACCAAGAGTGTCACTTTTTGATTTGTATTCGCTGGTTTTATTCAATTTTCTCAATGATGGTAAATTATTAGTGCTTAAAGATGTATCAATGAGGCGTCTAGGTATTTATTATGTCTATGTGTAAAGCCCCGTTCACACTAGCAGCGACTTTTGTCAGCCAATCGCCAGGGGCTGGCGATGACGTTGCTAGTGGGCGTTCTCGATACTGGTTGCCTTGACAGCAAATCAGGTTTCTTGCCGCTAAGTACAAACATTTTGGAGGCAAAAGACTAAACATAATCTAAATTAAATTCGTACATACAAACAAAAATGAATGAGAAAAAGAGCCTACTTTCTTCCATTGCATATGTTTATCTACGGCGCTGAGAGGAGAACGATCACATGAGCTCTACCATCTTCTTTCCTATTGGCTGTTGCTCCCGAAAGTCGCTCTTCATTTGCATAAAGTTGAAGGATTCTGGGGCAAGTTCAAGCTCAAACCAGTGCGCAACTTTTGCTACGGTTTCCGGTTTGAACGACATGTTTTCCTGGAAACGGTGTGCAACGGGGTTTGAGATGCATTTTCTGTTGTTTGGTGGGTGTGTCAAACATGTCAGCCCAATCAGCAGCAACATGTATATAAACCACGCTGTATTAAAGAGACAGCTCACACAATGTAATTAACATCCATATTGTGGAGGGACACTTTCAAAAACTTTTCTATACTCCTCTAATGATATAATGGTAAATATTACAATAACATAGCACAACAACAGTGATCAGCAATAATGATAAGCCTAATACTCACAATAAA